TGTTATGAAGTTACATTATTACTTCATATATGCTACATATTATTCAGATGCTACCAAACCACTACCATGTCACTACGTAGTAAATACATAGTGTGTTTGCTGGGATAGCATACACATGAGCATGTGACAACCCTCCACCAATAGGAGCAAGGTACAACTCTTAGCACAACTGACTCCCTCTATGCAGCTTAGCCCAACTTTACTTCTCAATTAGCACTTGTGGTATTCATACGTGTTTTTTGCTCATGCTTTCCTTTATGGAATTTTCAATCTATTCCTTTTTTTTTAGAACTTGGTTTTTCCTTACATTTGCCACACTTGTGTTTTGAAAGTTTTGTTAGTACATGTTAAACTTATATGTCTTTTTATTATAATATGTGATTCTTTGGAGCTCCCTGCTCGACTTTTCTACTTCCACTATTTGTTGAAATGTATTCTGAGTTTCACGTTATAGCTACTACCATTGATCCTACAGTTGAACTTGCTAAAAATGAAATTGACTATTGTGGCTTCGTGTGGGAACTTATGCCCTGTTTTTTCCCCACACATGCACAATTGTCCTCTCCACCATTCCCTACACTTCTGTTTTGGGGATCTCTTGGGTTGGTAAGCCCTTTGTCTATGTGAATTTACTCAATTCTCCTTGCAGAACTTGCACATGGCTCCCTTTTCAAGGTAAGATGGTTTTGGGGTCTTCCAATTTGTCTCTACCTCATCCTGCACCTGTTCCTGTGTCTCCCTCCTCTTTCCTCTCCTTTACAAGTGCCTACTTGATGGGTCTCTGAGGTTCACTGTTGGTTCATTCATATATGACTTCAGTGCTCCTGACAATCACAGTAACAATATGGGGGGTACAGGTTCAGTTGGGGCTAGGCTTTTGCAATTTGCCACCATTTGGGAATCCTTCACCACAGACACTTGGATTATACTGGTTCTTTCCAAAGGGCTCATTCTTTGTTTCATTTCCCCACCTCCCTAATTCTTTTCCATTTTTTGGGATTCCATTTCTAGCCAGCATCTTACAGAGGCAGTTCTGGATATTCTTCATCAGGGTACCCTAGAACAGTAAGATCTTTCTCAGCCAGGTTTCTATTCCCATTTGTTTGTAGTCCCTAGGAAGATTTGGGACTGGCACCCCATCATCAACTTCTCTGTCTTGAACCATTTCCTAGACCTTCCTCGATTCACCATGGAGTCCTACCTATCTCTTTGATGGATTTTCACTCCTTGTTAATGGATGATGAAGTTATATGTCTTGAATGCTACCCTCCTCATTCCCATCTCCCCAACATCCTGGTTTTTTCATTGTTATGTCCATCATAGTTGTGTCTACCAATTCTGTACTCTTCTATTCAGGCTAGCTTTGGCTCTCTACGTTTTTGTTGGGTTGTTAAGACCTTTGCCCATCTTCTCCTTTCCACCATTATATGAACAACTGGCTGCTTCTAGTTCGTTCACATGCCACCTTTTACCTTCAAGAGGCTGCATGGGTGAGTTGGTCCAAGTAGAGAAGTCTTTCCTCTCCCTCACTCAGTACCTTTTTCATCTCGCTGTATTTCTCAATTCCTGTCTCAGCTAGGCCCACCCTTCTCCTCTTCACTTGCAGTGTATGGTGCTTCTGGTTTGGATCATTTACACCTTTTCCAATTGCATGAGAGGTTCTGTCTCTTTTGGGGACATAGGCTTCTTTGAAGGCCCTATTTCCTCTATGTTGAGCACACATGTGCCTACTTCAGTGAGCTTTACTATATCAGTGTAACTTCTTTTGGTATCTCATGGATGCCCTTATCCATTTCCTTCCATCCCTTCATGTCGACTTTATCTTGTAGTTTGACAGAGACAACTCCACGGTGGGTGTTCCTCTTCCTTCTTCTCGTCTGGAGGTGCACCTTTTCACAGATGCTTCTCTTTTGGGTTGAGGTGTGTATCTGGACACACAGGAGCTTTTGAGTTGTTGGTTTGTTGATGAGTTATCTCTGCATATCAGTCTCTTGGAATTTCTTGATGTTCACTGGGCTTTGGTTCACTTCCTTCCATATCTCCAGAACAGGTCAGTTGTGCGCCATTTCAACAACTTGATTGTTGTCTCATCCTTCACTTGAGGGACACTCAGTTGATGTCTCTTTGTTTTCATACATTCAACCTACTGTTTCGGGTGAAAAGCTATCACATTCACTTGTTTATCTATCTTTCACTGACAAGATTCTTACCATGGAGTGGTTCCTCGAACCACAGGTGTTTGTCTGACTGTGTTCCCAGTGGGGTACTCTGGAACTGGATGCATTCACCACCCAACTGAATTCCACATCCTTTGACTATAGCTGTCAGTGCCCTCCATAAGGATTGGGGCCCTTTCCCTCTTTGCCTACCTGCTTCATCCATCTTCTTCCTTGTGTTGTTTCCATCATCTATGCCACTCCATGTTGCATTCTCTTGCCTCAACCATGGTTTCCACTTTTGTGCCTGCTCATATTAATACCTCCTCCTCTCCTCAGACATCCTCACTCGGGCACACTACATACAGATGGGCTTGATTTTCCCTGCAGATTACATCCTTGATTTCCAATTCTGTTTGCTCTTCCTCCATGACAATTTACCAACATAAGTGGTATGTCTGCCACCATTGGTCTTCATGTCATAGTGTTCCTCCATCCTGTCCTACTCTCTTGCACCTTACTTCCTTCCTTACCTGGCTTTTTGACAAGGGGTTTTTGGTATCCACCTTCACTCCCATTTCCCTCCCTTCCACTTCTCACCTTTACCTTCTTTCAGATCCAGATTACCTCTTGTGTCCTGTTCGGGCTCTCCGCTGTTATGTGGCTTGCACTACTCATTTTCATGGTTCACATTCTCATTTGTTCATTCATTGTCATACTTCCCTTTCCCATGATATTTCTCCTATTACCCTTATGGGCTAGATTTGCCTGGATTATTCTTCGTTGTCTCCTGATGAATGTCGTATATTTCAGGTCTTCTCCCACCAAATCCATCATCTTACCATGTCCCTGGCTGCCCGATTCCATAATCCATTAGAGGATATAGTTCGTGCCGAGATGTGGACCACTACCCTTATGTTTATTTCACATTATCTTTAACTTCTGGCCATTTCCTGCTCTACAGGTTGCTGTCTACCTCTACTTGCCATCTTGAGTTCCATGGCTTCTCTGTGAGTGGATAGGTGCTCCTTATCTACTTTTCTTCTTTACAGGGCTTTTCTTGCATATACGGATCATGCTCAGTGGCTAGTGTTGCCTAACCAGTTATATTTATTCTTAAACCTGCACTTTATGACCATTCTGGTCAATATAGCCCACTGTTCGGATGAGGTGTTCTACAAGACTGCTTGTAGGTTTTTGTCATGGCGTTTTGAATCATAACTATGTTCACCCCAGACAATACACTCATGGACTAACATGAGTAAAGCAGAAAATTATTGCTGCCCATTCCTGCTGCTCCTTCTCTTGACTGAATCAGGAATGATCTGCTTTTCAAAATAGGGTTTCACAGTCACCCATTGTATTGTCTCTGCTACTGCATTCCTCCCGACTTTCCAATGCATTTTCCCCTCCTTCTTCCAGTTGAGAGTAGGATGGTGGTGTTCTGCCAGTGTAGATGGTGTATAGACACTCCTCTTACTGCAGATCTGATGTACTATTCCAGATGCTGCTTCGTTATGGGCTGGACAATTTCTACCAAAATGCAATTCACCCCTCTGGCTAGGCACCCTCCTTCCTACCATCACCCAGATGCCAGTTCCTGGGGGGTACTGGTGTTGGTTGAAGCTGAACCAGCCACATAAATCCTCACATGTGAATGGCCCAAGTACTCTCATTCTTCCAAGGACTGGATGATGCTTTCTCAATGCTGTCTTGTTCTGGACTAAAGTTGAACCTCCACAGTGCTCTCCGCCTTCCTACTGTCATCCGGATGTTTGTTCCAGGGGGGTAGTATCATGTAGCTGTCTCACATGAGGATAGGTAGGAGTATCAAGGCTAATGGTGAGAGAAAATGTGTGCATATAGAGGGCAGTACAAGTGGGAAAAGCTATTCTATTAGGAGAGTTAAGAATCTATCAGAAATACATTTTCAGTGTAGAAAAGTGTTAACTTTTCCTACTTACAACTGAAAACTGCGGCTACTGGGGTATATGATTATTAACTTTTTTCTCTCTTTTGGCTTAGTAGTGGTTTCTTTTGCTAAATTTCCCTTTTACAGAGCATCACATTATTAAAATGCTTGTCACAAGACCTGTGTGTAGGTGACTGACTTAGTGAGCATCATTCAAGCTGACTTAAATAAATATATCCCTGCACTAAACTTCAACCAGTATTGAGTGACACTGGTAACCATTATTTGATTTATATTCTTTGGAATACTTTGATATTTTAAAAAGTCCTTGGAACATATTTTACTACTTTTTATTAATTAATGACTATTTTGTATATGATAAATTTAGAAGTTTGAATTTCCTGAATATGTTTTGGGTAATGGAATTATGAATATGAAATCATTCATAGTTTAGATTTATTGCTAGGTTTCAGATATACTAGGTTTCAGTTTTGTTTCAGTGAATAGAGGAGTTACTTGAAAGTTATATATATGTACCTAAACCAATACCATAATTACTGAACAATTACCCCTCTGTTCTCTGTTGGTTGATTTATATAGTGTTATAACTGAGACTTGTTTGCAATATTTGTATAATGCTTTATAGTCTGTCTCGAGCTGCATTAGACATTGTTAGTTACATGTGAATTATTAAGAACTGCCATGAAGTTGTCTGTTATGCCTGCTTTAAACCATAATGTAAGGTTTTGTAAAATATTTCTTCCATTGTTTTATTTGTTTATAGCTTTTTATGAATTAAAAGTTAAACTTTTTTTTCATGTGTTTTTGGGTTTGTTGCATATGGTGCAACAGTTCTTAAAGTGAGTATTCAGTTCTACTATTACATTTTAAAAAGAAAATCTGAAAAAAAGTTGTGTACTTTTTTTTTTTAGGTACCATATGTGTCTTGATAAGTTTTCCATTCTTATTCAACCAATGCCTTGGATGCTCCAGTTCACATCAAACTGCTCAGGTTATTTATTATGCTGCTTTTATAATTGTATTCCAATTTGGTTGGGCTTCTGTCCAAATTTCTCATCTGTCTTTAATTCCTGACCTTACTCCTGTTTCATCAGAAAGAGTGGAACTTAATTCTTTAAGGTGAGATAAATCTATGGAAAATTAATGAAACATATTATTTTAATACATGATTTTCTTTATTGTTTCTGTTACTTAGGTTAGGATGAAACATATTATTTTAATACATGATTTTCTTTATTGTTTCTGTTACTTAGGTTAGGATGAAACATATTATTTTAATACATGATTTTCTTTATTGTTTCTGTTACTTAGGTTAGGATGAAACATATTATTTTAATACATGATTTTCTTTATTGTTTCTGTTACTTAGGTTAGGATGAAACATATTATTTTAATACATGATTTTCTTTATTGTTTCTGTTACTTAGGTTAGGTTTCTTTCAGCATATTTGAGAATGTTTGTTTTTTATGTTTTCTGCTTAACCTTGACAGTGTTCATAAGCATTAGCTATGATTCACAAGCAAAGTAGACTGGACAATCAAGTGTGATGTAAAATACACACACACACTAGCCTTGTTCTACATTTATCAATACCTCTAATAGATGTAGGTATTTTCTCTCTCTCTCTCTCTATATATATATATATACACACACATACATATATAAGCATATTATGAAACAACTGTTCCTTTGATTTTCACAGTGTTGTACATGATATGTGTATGTTGAAGGAGGCAAATAATTCTCCATATTCAAACCAGAGCTTACACATAATTTTCAAACTTTTGTGTAAATTTACCCTGTCTCATCTGTATGTACCTTGTCTAAAATTACATACCTTTCATTATGTGGGTCTCGTGAGAGCTGCCCAACCTTAGTTTCCCTAAAATATATTGTTGTGCAATAGCATGTACAGACATTTTCCCCAAATGACATCCAACTATCTTTCCCCTCTGAAACTCTGTTAGCTCTTTCCTTGTACTCATTGTTAGGCGTACAAGTTCGAAATAACTTCCGAGCGAACTGCTGATCCCCATTATAGGCCAAACTATTTTCATATTTCGTCATCACACCCATTTTCCTGCAATTAGAGGTGTATCCCATGACTTTTGGTAGGATAGTGTAGATATCATACATGCATGAAGTGCACTATAATGTAACATATAAATTTAATTACAATGTGAAAAACAAACTACCAAAAGGGAGTAGAATTGGAACATCAAAGTTCATGTACATGCAGATACTGTTGACTATTAAGAGAGAGAGTTGGCTTGATAAGTATTTGTAGAGCACATAAACAAATAAGTGCAAGTTTGTCAAAACACTAATTGTGATTTAACTCTACTCCAAAACAGACCTTCAGTTTGACATTAATCCTATTGTCACAGGTCAAAAGCCATATTATATACCGTTTGTTGACCTGCATTCAAAATTTCATTGAACTATTATTTTATGAATGTATGTCAATAAGTTTGGTAGCAAATTGTAGATTATAATTCAAGTTCCAGTATGATCCATTGGTTAATTTCTTAATTTAAAAGTAAATATTAAAAAAGAAATCCTAAATATCAATTTTTGTGTGTCATGTGTTATGTTGAATGAAAAATTGGTTCAAATAAGATGTTTGTGATGTCCAAATACAAAGTCTGTAGTTTCTTATGAATTAGGAACTCAATTATCACTATTGACAAGCTAGAATCTAAAATAAAAACCTCCTGTCTTTTCTATTTGCTGAGATATCCCTACTTTTACTGAATCAAGTACAGTGGCCCCACCTACCTCTTTCCATTTTTGGAAACACTTATGTACACCTACTTCTGTTTATGACGTGTGAATAACCAATCGAAAGCTCAGAATCTCCCCCAGTAGCTTTCTCAGCCAATTTGAAGTATTCTGGTGCTTTCTTTTTATGCTAGAATCCAAGCATTAAGATAAGACTTTAGTGAGGGCGAAATTTCCTATTTTTTTTTAGACCAAAATACAGCTCAATTATTAAGCTTAATAAATTATAGTGGAATTCAATGGTATTGATATAGTAATTTATGTTTTTGGTTATTTCAAAATGTATATATAAAACCTAAAAAAAATATTCCATTTCACATCCTCCATGGTGCAAAATTTGTTAAGGGTTAGCAACCTATGGCAAACAGCAAATGAGTACAAAGTTCGTAACTAGAAGAGATAATTGTTTGCTATACTTCTTTATTTACTGTTTTGTGTTTTAAGAAAAATAAAATCAAAAACTTATTTATAAATAGTAATTTATGTATATACATACATAATGTATTATAACTGAAATGTGACTGTATTTTACAAAATACTTGTCCACTAAAAATACAGCCAAGACAGGTCACTTTGTAAAGGCAAGTTCTATGTTCTTGGATATGGTAACATCAATGCATGTGCATCGCGTCATTGCAACTTCTTTAATATTATCCAGGCACAGCTGAAAGGTCAATATAATAAATATATATAAATGTATAATGTTATGCAATTTAAGCTATTTAGGCTAAACATTTGTGTTTCATGTTACAATTTGTAGTCATTCTAGAATGAAAAAAAGAATAATTTATATTTATTTCATATATTTCATAAAAATTTATGGTGGTTACGAGGTCGGTCAAATCGACCCAACCGGTACAGAGATACAGTAGTGAAAATAACTTTTATGTTCCTGAACCACCTGAATTATTATTATTTTTTCAGTGGATCACAACAGGATGTATACACCATGCTGCCATTTTTCTTCTGTAATTATGCAAACTTTCCACAAACTACCTGCCTACAGAGTGAGAACTGCTTCATTACACCATTTTATGTTAATCTATGTTCCTTTTATGAGAAATAATGTAAAAATAAAAAAATGGCATAAAGGTTTCCTCTTTTTCAAGTTTGTAGCTCACTGGAGTCCATTGTCCACTTGACTAAGGAGAACCTCCAGTACATACTTATCCACAATGTATAAAACAGTTCTCGTTGATTTAAGTGTTTTGTATAACATTTTAAATTTATATCTCTTACTATTAAAGTATTTGTAACAAACTATAAAGTTCTTTTTTTTTATGATATTGAAACTTTTTAAAATTCCTCTACTAAATGATTTAACATGTGACTATTTTGTGGACAAAATCAATTGTCTGGACACTGTTCTGGGTAACTGATACATAAAACCTTTCTTTATTAGATATGCCTTCACCGTTGCTTCTAATGTGTGTGTATATGGAATTACATGGTTTGAACTTGGTGTTGGAGGTACTGATAAAGATCAGCATTTGACACGAAGTGATGCTTCTGTATTCAGAGTAAGTAACATGTTTAATTTCTCTAAGATTTGAACAGGTATGGTGTGGTAAGTTCAGAGAAACTCTGTGAATTATCTCGGTGCTTTACAATGCCGAAAAAATATACAAGAGAGGTGATTATTGTCGACATTGTCATTTTTTTTTAAAGGTGTTACACTTGATATTGGTAGCTTGCTGTGTTATTTCGGAGATCTTATTATACCTTTAAAGCCGGAAATAACTACAAAAATCTAGGACTTTAAAGGAAAAAATCATTTGTACACATTTATTACAATTATGTTATTTTTTAACAGTGCTTCTTATATTCAGTCAAATAATTTGTGTTCAGAGTGAAATTTGTAAGTGTACTCCTAATTTTTTAGTTTACATGAACACACAAATTTAGTAATCTTATATTCTCACAGAAACAAGTTATCAAAATAGCCTAGCATAACTTTCTGTGTGATTTGACTAAAGACTTGCTAAAACAACTTGATCGTTAGTACACATTGGTGGTTGTTAATATAATGTGTTACTGAATATAGTTTTGATCATTGAAGTCAAAGTCTGCTATTAGTTCCAAATTAGGTTCATATTCATTGAGAATTGAGTGTAATCTTGTATATCATTAAAGTTAAGTCATTTAGTAGATGTACATATTATTGTTACATATTATTTTTATAGTGTGTCATTAGCACACTAAATTTATGTAAACTAATGTTTCATTACTTGTGTAATCTGGATATGTCTTATAATCTGTTTTACTCCCTTCATTATATAAGCATTGTTTAATCTCTGTGCAAAACACTTTTTTTTTTTTGGGGGGGGGGGGTTAATTTTATTATTACATTACAGTTTTTGCTAAATAACTTAATAGTCATTAATATGTGTTGCTTATGTTTTTGCAGTAGAATATCTGGTTTTGTGATGTCATATTCATTCATCTTTTAGTAGCACTCAAAAATTGAATGCTGACATTTTTTAGGCTTACTACATTCGGTTATTTAATTTATTTGTCTTGATATACATACATGTAATGCACACTTTACAATACTTAAACCTTATTGGGATAAATCTTAGGTTTTATCCAACATTCTGCTGTGATAAGGAGTGAAACTACTTATATAAGTGAAAGTTAGTCAATCCTGTTTCCCTTTTTTTGCATGTTATCATGGATAAACAACAACATACAGTTGCAGAAATAAACCAGTGAATGTCTGAGAACCCCTTGGACTTTTCCCAAAACCCCTGTGAAAGCACATTGTTTTGCTTTACACATGTGATTTACATAATATATATAGCTACTAGAAAATTTGGGGATTCCACTGGGATGCGTTATGTGCAGAGAGGCAAATATATCTGTGTTGGAATACAGGAAAAGAAGTAAGAGTATGCCATAGGTTATACAGCATATCAAAAAATACCAATTAAGGATTGAGATTTATTCATCTACATATTTTTTGTTGTGTGTCTATATATATAAATATATATGTGTGTGTGTTAAGGAATGTTAAGATGTTGGTATTGTTACGTCTCCGTTTGTTAATTGATTTTCCGTAACTTCGTTCCGACGAAACTTTAGCGACACAAGTCCTTACTTAATAAAACTGGTTTATTCTTTCGGAATACAACTTTACGATACACTTATTTTCAACAGTCGCTCTATAACAAACGCTATATCAACAAATGTCAACAATACTTCTGACTGCAGTTCAATTACTCACTATCTACACAGATCACGTTGTCCCCCTCTTTTATATACCCGACCACCCTATATCCAGCAAGAACTAGAACATTCGCCAAAGTACAGGATAATTCTAGAAAGTAGAGAGCGTGAGAATCACATGATCTCGATGATGCAATACTGCCCCCTCCTTAATATTGTTCGTCCCGAACAATAACCACAAACAATGAACCAATAACAATTAACAATAACTTAATTAACTGTACAGAATTACAAACACAGAATTACAATTCAACAAAGTCTCTTAATCTTACGGGACGTGTCTTCTTCCGTACTGGTCTCCGTCTCGTTGGCTTCTGCTTCACGTGGGGTTCATCTACTTCATCAGGAAATGTCCTATCATCGGTAACAGTCAC